CTGCTCCTCACCCCCCTTTTCTGCTCCTCACAGGTTGGAGGGGGTCAGGAAGGTGCAGGGGGGCAGGTAGAGATCTTCTCCCTCAACCGTGCCGTGCCACGGACGGTGAAGTCCTTCCCGGTGGCTTCGCCGGTGCTGTGCATGGAGTACATCCCTGAGGTGGGTGAGGAAGAACCAAGAGGCACCCAGGAACCCCAACCCATCACCGAACAGCTCCCCACATCCCCGCATCCCACCGTGTGCTTGGGGTTGCGGGATGGCAGGTGAGCCCACATCTTCTGCATCCATCCTTTGGTGGCATCACCATCACCAAACCTTGAGGACCAACATGATCTCCTGCATCTCCTCTCCCTGTTTCCTTCCCAGCATCGTGGTCTACAGCAGCGTGGACACAGGGACTCAGTGTTTGTTGACCTGTAAAAGCCCAGGCTTGCAACCTGTCCTCTGCTTGAAGCACAGCACCGAGTACCTGTTTGCAGGGTTGCAGGATGGGACCGTGGCTGCCTACACCCGGAGCAACGGTGAGGACACCACCATGCATGTTTTTGGGCAAACTTTTTGGTGGGACACCCTAAAAAAAAACATGAAGCAGGAGGTTCTTCACACCAGTGAGAAGTGCTGCTGCTAAAATGGTGTTAAATCATAGAATCATAGACTGGTTTGGGTTGGAAGGGACCTTAAAGCTCATCCAGTCCCAACCCCCCTGCCATCAGCAGGGACACCTTCCACTAGACCAGGTTGCTCAAAGCCTCATCCAGCCTGGCCGAGAACACTTCCAGGGAGGAACAGCCACCGCTTCTCTGGGCAACCTCAATTGGGCAAACCTCAAAATCTCAATTTTTTTAAATTTTTATTTTAAATTCCCCCCATTATTTCATCCCTCCTGTTGCAGCCTGCAGAGGGAAAATCAAAAAATGTTATTTTGCATTGTCAAGATGAATAGAATGGAGGGAAAACGTGTGAAAAATGTCCTGGTGAGGGGTTGATACAGCAGCAGAACTTTTACTCAGAGGGTGGTTGTGCTCAGGGGCTGTGGGAAGGGTCTGACACTGGGATGCACAAAGACTCACAGCTATAAACCGAGCTGACCCCCCCCAAACCCCATCCATGCAAAAGCTCTCTCCTTCATTAGCTTGATTTTTTGGGTTTATTTTTGCCTGACTTCAGCTCAGCTCAAGGCTTCAGCTTGCTGAGAGCCTTCCTCCTTGGGAACTCCTCGCCTGGGCTGTTAAATACCTTTGTTTCATCACTAGAGGGTAGGAAAGAGCCTCAAATAATATGTGACATTGACCTATTTTTGGACAAAAACCCCCATTTACTCCAAGATGACTCGGGTGCTGCTCACTGCAGGTTAACCCACAGCCAGTAAAACCATTTAAATTGTATTTTGGGGTGTTACACATCCCCTTTCCCACCTTCTAGCAGCTGTTGAAGCCAATTAATAAAGTGGCTTTAATTGAATCTCGATTGTATAAATGCACATTGAAGGCAGCAAGCTGCTGGCAGGGCTGTGGGGTGGAGTTTTTAATCTTATCTTTATATTTTTGGAAGGAAAAAGCTTTTTTCTGAAATAGCTCAATTTGATGGGAAAATTAGGATTTGCTGACAGGCAGCTCGGTTGTAAAGTCCAGAGGTTGGAGCATCCAAAGGGTTATTTTATCTATTGGATCTTGGGATTTTATTTAAAAACAAAATAAATTTGGAAGTAAGAAAAGGGGAGAAATTATCTGTTGAAGCTACTCAGCCACCACTGAGGGGGAATTCATCCAAATCCAGGTTGGATGTTGTTCACAGGGACACTCACTGGATGAATTTGCTTTGGAGTGTTGCTTCAAGAGCAAATAAATTTTTTTAAAAAGAGGAATTTTTGGCTTTTTCCAGTGAGGAATGTACCCAGATGTTGCAGGTGGACAGTTATTTCCTGCTAAAAAGCTGTTTGTGTGGAAGCAAAGGGGCTGGGGGGGGTTGAACCTGGGGTTCCCAGCTCCCCCCAACCTTTTACTTGTGGCATTAAGATGCTTGGAGGCATCTGAGGTGACACTGTGGGGACACAAGAGGTTTGCAGTTGACCCAGCAGCCATTTAGGGGGTGGTTTTAGCTACATCAAAAGATGATTTTTAAATATTTTTATATTTAAAAATTATTTTCTGAGCATTTTCTTGCCCCCCACAACTCATTTCATCCCAGTATCTCTGTTATAGGGAAGCTGTGGGACCCAACAGAGCAGCCCACCCGCCTGACTGTGGGTACTGGTCCAGTCCAAGTCCTCCTGACCCTGGATGAGACCCTCTGGGCCAGCTGTGCCAACAAGGTCACTGTCCTCGATGCCACCAGCCTCCGTGCCCAGGTAGGGACCATCACCAGGACCCCCGTGCTGCAACCTTGGGGGTGCACAGTGTTTTTTGGGGTGGCTCACACTGGTTTGAGCCCCAAAGGACACACATGGGCACGTCCTTGCCTGTGCAAAACCCAAACCAACCTTTTTTTTCGCTGCTTTTCATCACTTTTGGGTCCCTTTCCTCTAATATTGGGTCATGGAAAAGGACACCAAGACATCTCCCACAGCTGCATAAACAAGGAATGTTGAATAATTCCCTTTTTTTTAAAAAACACAAAACAAAACCCTTTTCTCCCACCCTTAATTTTCACATTTAGTGCCCAAACTTAGTTTGCATGTATTAGCTGTCGTAAATCCAGCCTAACGGCGGTGCTGGGGATGAATAATGCATCAGGGACTGGATTTGTTCCCTGTCTCTGATTTTATTTATGACAGGGAGCTGGGTGGGAATTTTTGCAGAAGAAAAGTGATAGAGGAGGAAAAAAAAATTAAGGTTGAGGACAATATAAATAGTATTTGATGGAGAACTGTGTAATAGGGTCTGCTTGGATGGGACTGGTGACTTGGGAATAAACAATCAGGGAATAAATCCTATGTGGGGTGGGGAACAAGGTGGGGAAATCACCTAAAAATCTTTATTTACCCCCATTTTGTGCAAGCTTTTTGGGGGGGATGCTCTATGCTGGTCCTCTCTGGGAAGGGGATCAATACCTACTTCTCTTTTCTGTATATATATATATATATTTATATATGTATATATAAAGCAAATTTTAAAGCAAAAAGTGTTTCAAAGACAGAGGAGAAATGAAGGCGACGTCGCTGCGTGCAGCTTTCTCCCCCAGTGATTTAATTCTTTGATGCTAATATGAGTTTTGGGTTGTTTTTAATTTGGGAAAACTGCAGCAGAGACGATTTTTGATGCAAAAAGGTGGTTTTTTTTCCTGTAGTTTGCATCTTGTCTGATAGGAAATATTGCAATGGGAAGCTTGGGGAGTAGATGGACCCATCTGTGATCCCCAAATAGCTCTTGCAGGGGGGATGAACCTTTAATTGCTGATTTTTGGGGTAGGAGAGAAGCAGGAAGATCTCATCCCACCTTGGGATGGGTTTTGCAGGTGCATCTTAGTCTGGAAATGAGTCTTTTAAAGAAGAATTAAAAAAAAAAACTGGAAGGAAGGGAAAAGCTGTGTTAGCATCCAAAAAAACCTCAAGAAGGGTTTGGTGATGGGCTGGTTTTGGTGTTTTCTGCCCAAGCTGGAGCTGATGAAGAGGGATGTGACCTCAGGGTCACTCTGGTCCTTTCCTTATCCAGCTTTGCAGCTCTAAAGCAGCTCCTGGAGAGAGCTCGAGCGAGCAGCAGTTTTAGGGAGCAACCCTTTGATTTCCTGTTTGCAATTCCCCTTTTGGCAGCAAACCTTCGAGGCCCACCCAGACACTGAGGCCAGCGTCACACACATGATCAAGGCGGGCAGCGGGGTCTGGATGGCCTTTTCCTCAGGCTCCTCCATCCGCCTCTTCCACACCGAGACACTGGAGCATCTGCAGGAGATCAACATCGCCACCAAGACCACCTTTGTCTTGCCAGGTGAGCTCCCCATCCTTGCACCCATGTTCATCCCCATGGGTGCATCCTTCTAACCTCATCCTCACACCCATCTTCGTTCCCATGTGTACATCCTTGCACCCCATCCTTGCACCCATCTTCATCCTGGTGTGTGCATCTTTGCACCCCATCCATGCACCCATCTTCATCCCCACCTGTGCCTCCATGCACCCATCTTCATCCCCACGTGTTGATACTTGCACCCATCTTCATCCCCATGTGTGCATCCTTCTATCCTCCTCCTCACACCCACCTTCGTCCCCACGTGTGCATCCTTGCACCCATCTTCATCCCCACGTGTGCATCCTTGCACCCATCGTCATCCCCACGTGTGTATCCTTCCAACCCCACCCTTGCACCCATCTTCATCTTGATGTGTGCATCCTTGCACCCATCTTCATCCCCACCTGTCCATCCTTGCACCCATCTTCATCCCCACCTGTTCATCCTTCCAACCCCATCCTCGCACCCATCTTCATCCCCATGTGTGCATCCTTGCACCCCATCCTTGTACCCACCTTTGTCCCCATGTGTGCATCCTTGCACCCATCTTCATCCCCACCTGTCCATCCTTGCACCCATCTTCATCCCCACCTGTTCATCCTTCCAACCCCATCCTTGCACCCACCTTCATCCCCATGTGTGCATCCTTGCACCCACCTTCATCCCCACCTGTCCATCCTTGCACCCCATCCTTGCATCCACCTTCATCCCCACCTGTCCGTCCTTGCCCCATACATTCACCGCGTTACCCTCTGCACCCTTTTTTCCCCAATTTTCCATCCAGCACCATCTCCAGCCACATCCCCCCACCCAGCCCTTATATCCACCCTGGGTTTGCGAGGTTGTCTCCCTCCTTGTTCCATCTACCGAGCGACATAATTGCCTAATTAGTTATAAGCACAATACTCATGTAAGTCACTTTTTCTTTTCCTTTCTTTTTTTTTTTAAGGGCATGTTAAAATATTTATCACTTCCTTCTCTTCCCGGGCGAGTGAGCGTTGGGTATTAATGCATTTTTGAACTCATGCTCCCTCATCCTTTTGAACTCGACAGGTCATTAATAAAGTCCTCCCGGAGAAACTGGAGTTGCATCTCCGCAGATATATTGCTTCGCCGAGTTCCACGCCGCGCAGTGCTAAGTCCCGCCGATAAAATATTCATTTGCCATTAGAAATCTCACTTTTCTTTTCTTTCTTTTTTTTCCCCCCCCCCCCTCACTTCTCTTTATTTATTTCTATTTGTAGCTCTTCCCCTGCCATGAAGATCTTGGTGGAAAAGTGCTGCTTGGTTTTAGGGAGTGTGTTCCCCATGGAAAAACCCATTGATGATGGATTATCTGGGAAGATGCTGTTGCAAAATCATCCCTCACTCTCTTTTTTTTTTCCTTTCTTTCCTTTTTTCTTTTTCCTTTTTTCTTTTTTTCCTTTTTTCTTTTTCCTTTTTTTTTCTTTATTTTTCTTTTTTTTTTCCCCCCCCTTCACTCCTCTCTTTATTTATTTATATTTGTAGCTCTTTCC